ACAGTTTTTTAATAAGAAAAATTTGTTCTCTACAAATCTAAAACCATTTTGAAAAGATTAAGATTTTCTGTCTCAACAAAATATGTAAAAGAATGTATTAATCACAAAAAATAAAGTTTCTTCATGCTCCTTCTATAGGAATCATAGAAGCCAAGGAAAGACATTTTTTTAACCATTTATGGACATGAAGGTTACACATTACACATTACATATACTGAATTAAAGCTGGATCGGGGAATGGCTTTCAAACATGAAAATCAGAAATATTTAGTAGGTAACTAGCCTCTAATAATAAACTGATTTTAACTTAGCATGTTTCTAGTTTAGTTTTATAGACCTATTTATCATGAAGGGGGCAACAAACTGTAGAAATTATTGTGAGCAGGGGTTGCTTCACACTTCAAATGAGTTAACAGTTCTGTTACGAATAAAGTCTACACCATAATCAGGTAGGTAGTGAGCCCTAAATTTAAATAGCACCTTCCCTATAAGCATCCAGTGTGTCTGTACTTGGCAATGTGCCAAGTGCAATAAGGAACTTAGAACACATTGGCATGTACATCATATAGATGCCCAGGCTTATATGATCCACAACTGATTCTGTCTGAGGGCTCAAAAGGCCATCTAGGATAACTTCTCATACCTATAAAGGATGAACCCCCTAGTGTCTCTCTGTAAGACATTTTTAAAAAGTCAATTTACTGAGATATATTTACATATAATAAAATGCACCAATTTTAAGTGTGCAGTTTGATGAGTTGTGAAAAAGGTATGCTATACCTAAGGAACCATCGCCACAATCAACATATGGAACACTCACACTATTGCAACAATTCCCTCATGCTCCTTGCAGTCGATTCCCAACCCCAGTCCCTGGCAAATGCCAATGGGCTTTCTGTCAATATAGCATGAGTTTTGTCCATTCTGGAATTTAATATAAATAGACTCACACAGCATGTAGTCTTGGTCTTTTTTTTTTTTTTTTTCCCACCAACATAAAGCTTTTGAGATTCATCGGGTTGTTGCATGTGCTGGGCAGTACTGTACTGCACAGATATAAAACAATTTGCTTATTCATTCACATGTAGATGGACATTTGAGTTCTGATATTTAGTTTTTATAAATAAGACTATTATAAACATCTATGTACATGTCTTTATGTGGACATATACTTTTATTTATTCTGGGTTAAAGCCTAGGACACAGTTGCTGAGTCATATAAGTACATGTTTGACTTTATTAAAACATGCCAACATTATTTACCAAAGCACTTACATAATTTTTACACCTCCCTGCCCCCAGCAAAATATGAGAGCTTAAATTGATCCACATGCTTGTAAACACTTAGTATTATCAGTCTTTTAAATTTTAGCCATTGCCAAGAAGAAAAAAGTAGAAACTGGTGATTTAAGAACGCTAATCCACAGAATCATGTCAGTACATAATCATTTCACACCATTCAAGAAGCCATTCAGGAAGTCCAATGAGAAATGCTCAAATTCTATGAATGAACCGAAGATTTTATTTCTCTCCTTACACAATTACAACTAAATAACTCAAGAAAGAGCATCTGATTTCCTGCACTCCAGAACCTTTTTTGCAATTTTTTTTTTTTTTTTTGCATTTATCTTGAGATAGAGCAGGAGGGAGAAAGAGAGAGAGAGAAACATCAATGTGAGAGACACACATCACGTTGCCACCCACATGATCCCAACCGGGGTCAGGGACGAACTGCAACCAAGGCATGTGTCCTTAGCGGGAACCGGACCCAGGACCCTCTGGTCCACAGGCCGACATTCTAACCACTGAGCCAAACCGGCCAGGGCCCTTTTTGCATTCTTACAGAGGATATACAGTCCACTCTGAAAATAATATCTTATGTTCATAGGCCTTTACCTCTTTGATTATAATTCCGCCAGACAGTGGAAGTGGGGAGGGATTCACACAAAAAAAACAGTAGAAAAAGACATTGGATATCAATATCTTACATGCATAGGTTGGCAAGCGTTTAAAACTATGATATTCTCTCTCTTTTTTTAAATTAACTATACTGTTTTATAAGTGGTTAAATATTATTTGCAGACATTGCCTTAATTTGTACAGATTTTGCCTGTTCAAGACGGATAGCTGGTTTTCATGAACCAAACCACAAGAGTTGAAAGGCTTGGCCGCCCCAGGAAGCATTAGGTGGTTCATACTAATAGCGGGAAGGAGGTTGTCACTCAAGGCCTCTGCTTTTACTTCACAGCCTCCCAGGGGAGTTCAGCTACAAAGAGGTCATCCTTAGACGAAATAGGAGAAAAGGAGAAACTCAAAATCCAGCTAAGTCTTTCAACGAGGCTGCCATTCTCTTGGCCTGGAACGCTCTCTGCACCACCACCCTCTTTTCAGAACCAGTGAGGCAGCTCTGGGTTCTCCCAACCAGGCCAAATTCTCCTCACACATGCCTTCATCTCATTGCATTTTCCCTTGTTAACCTTTTCATGGTTCATGATTGCGTTTATTTTAATGAGTAACTTATTCATGTGTATTGTTCCTTCCCCATGAACAAGGTAAGCTTCATGAGCTTTTCCCATAACTGAAACCCCAGCTCCTAGAGTGATCAGCACCGAAAAAGTACATACTAAATATTTGAGTAATTAATGAGTTACTTGTTAATAAGCACATTAGCTTATCAGAGATGTGAATGATACCCCTCCAAGATTCACGTGAGAGAATGAAGGCAGCTGCTTCTGTCTCAATGATAAGAAAAATCAAACGGCAAGAACTTTTGGGTATCCACGTTGCCTGGCCTTCTTCTGCCCTGAATTCCATGAACTCGTCTGCTTAAATATCAGATCTATTATCAACCTGTCATCTCAAAATTCGAATACGTGAAAAGGGTAAAGACTTTTATAACAAAAGACGTTCCTGCATTACGATGAAACAAAAGAACAGTTCTCATGATGAAACAAAAGAACAGTTCTCATCGCTTCAGGCTTGACACCTGAAGTCCTTGGTCATTTGTAAAGGAAATGCAGTTATCTGGCCACGAGCTCCTACAGCGGGGAAATGCTTATGCTGCTTCCCTGAGAGGAGGCAGTCTGAGTCCCTCTTACAGACCACATGAGCCCAAAGAGGCCAAGGAGAGCATGTGCCTCAGATGCACACAAAACCACCCTCTTTTCCAGTTACAGGTGTGTACTGGGGAAAACTAGGGGATTCGAGACCATCCATCTTTTCTTCAACTGCCGCTTCAAGAAATATTGAGACCATAGAACTAAATAAAATTTGAATCACTATGTGTCCACGTTCAGCTCAGCCAACACACAAAACAAAACTTATTGTCATGCATTTCTATTGTTATTGGTGCAAGCAAAAACTCTAGGATCTAAATTTAGAAATATGAAAACTTTTCTTAAGCCCTGAATCTCATTAACAAAATACTAGGAAGGTGTCAGGAAAGGCTATTTCTTTCTTTCACTTAGTCGTTGGATATCATATTCCAGGCTCTGTCCAGCGCACTAAAGGCATGCAAGTGTCCTCCAACAATAACCACATTTCATTAACTCGGTCTTTATTTGGGATTAAGAAAGATAGATCAATATTTCAAGGTCATCGCTTCTCGGCCTTTTGGCTAAGATCAAGTGTAGTATCTGTTCTTATCAGTTTAATATTTCAAGGTCAATTCTCTCACACTCATTTAAATAAAAGCTTTCTTTAACATTGAGAAAGCATTCTTACCAAAGGGCTATGTTCTAATTATTTATTTATTTATTTTAGTCCTCACCTGAGGCTACGTTTTTATTGATTTTTAGGAAGAAAGAAAGGGAGAGGGTTGGTGTGGGAAGAGAGAGAGAAGGAGAGAAGAGAGAAGGAGAGAAGGAGAGAAGGAAAGAGGAAGAGAGAGAGAGAGAGAGAGAGGTGAGAAACATCAGCTGGTTGCCTCTTGTACACTCCCAACCAGGGATTGAACCGCAAGCTGGGTATGTGCCCAGACCGGGAATCAAACTGTGACCTTTTAGTGTACAGGACGACACTCCAACCAACAGAGCCATACCAGCCAAGGCTGTTTATTTCATTTTATACTAAAATACAGTCTTATTATTATCTTTACATGTTCTTTCCAGAAAAAAGCTATCTCTACCCAGAAATAAATTCTGATAAACGTCAATGATCACAGGCTTAATTTTTTTTTTAAAGCTAAAAATGCGTCCAAAAATAAAGTTTTATTCCCAAGCCACAATTAAAGGACATTTTTAAAAAAGATGAGTTAAGGCAAGCTTAATTCTCCGACTGCCACATTACAAGAAATATCAGAAATATTACAAATTCCCCAGGTGTTCAGATTAGCATCACCCATAACTCCATGCAAAACTTATCCCAGTTTTATCTTTAAAAAGCCTGGTATGAATCCACAGTAAATCCCACAGATCTCCTACAATCACCAACAGAAAGAGAGAAAAAAAAAAATCCAACAAAATACTAAGTGTAACAGATGCGTCTTTCTGACAAGGAACAGCTGTCAGGCGAGGCAGTGACCTATGAGCCCACACTACTTCCTCACATTCCGTAATGTGTCGATATTCATCTTAAGACAAACTATTACTGATTATTGGCAACTGTTAAAAGAAGAAATTTATTAAAACTCAGACTGCTGGTAAGGACAATTGTCCAAATATCAGGAAATGTTCTAAAACAAAAATCCTGGCAGACAGCCCACCTTCTGCCAATGTCCCAGTGAAGGAAGTATAAACGAGTTACTGTGCCTGCCCAACCCAGAGACTCCTAATGAATCAGAAAAGATACTAAGATTGAACTTCATTACATTTCACATATCAAGCCACTTCGAAAGCAGAGGTGCCCTAAGTAAGGAAGGCCCAGAGAAGACAACAGAAAAACAAAGGCAGAGTGGATAAGTGGACATGTACAAAACCTGGGTATAGAACCCTGCAGGGTACCTCAGAATGAACTGTTGTAAAGAAGTTGTTCTAATAATACTAATATCTCATTTTCATTACCTGACAGGCAGATGTAAGTTAAGTATTCGCCTTGGCCCCCTGTCGCCAGGAAAGGAATCTTTTTCTTCGTCCTCCTCTTGACTTGGACGGCTCCCAGCATCCTTTCATCAAGAGGTGCAAAAATCTCCTTGCTGATGGCAGACTTGGCACTCATTGTAGAACAAGCGAGGAGGGCAAGCAGTAAGTCTCCTAAAGAAGAAAGAGAAAAGGCCAGTTGGAATTGAGAATGCTGTATGGGCCCATGTAAGAATGAGCAGCAAGTTGATTTGCAGGTGAAGCAACGTCCAAATGTGTGGTTTAACCTCTTTCTTGCTTGAACTGCATCACAGAATCATTAAAAGGGATGTCTTATCATTTGCAATAACTATGAAAAAATATAAATAAAAAGAGAATACTGATTACTCACTGAAAATGTCAAACACAGTGGGAGATGAGCAGCATGGAATAGGATCTAGAAAGTCTGTCAGTCTGTACCCCAACTGCATCTAAGTCTGACTGACATGCAGAACCCACCCCACTCCTATCCTGTGAGGAACATGGCTTCACATCTCCAGTGGAGAAGTCTCTCCACTGTCCAACGATCCTCAAAGTCAGTACGCTTCTTCAAAACCTCCTTTAACTCGAATGTAAATCTATTTCCTTAATTCTGTTCATAGTGGAAATAATTATATCATCTTCTGCCTAATAACTATAGAAGGTAGTTATAACAGAAGACCATTAATTTAATCCCCCTTCAGCTGCTTTGGCTCAGGCTAAGTAATTAATCCTTATTTATTAGCCTCTTTCAATAGGTCCTATGTTCCAATGCTCCTCTGCATCTAGTTGCCATAATCGGGGCTGTTGAGAAATTCTCCACATTTTCCTTTAGCCAAAGTGGACACAGAATTATAAGTGTCTGACTAATGCTAAGTATTTTGGAAATGTTACCCAGCAGTTCCCACCCAGCATGCTCTTGTGGTTAACTTGGCAGTGTGTGCCCAATAATTAAGAAAACAAAGCACTATGTTGCTGACTAACAAGTCCCCCTTCTCCCTGCCCCAAAAAACTTACACATACACAGTCCCCATGTTATATTTAGTTTTCCAAAAGCTTCCCTGATGGCCTTAATTCTACTTATTGGCATCAATCTGAATTGTAACCCTATCATCCAAAAAGCTCAACAGCAACTTAAGTGTGTTCTGCCATCCATGTCATAGTCTGCACCTTAATCAGTAACTGAAATTTGTTCAAGCAATTAATACATCAGAGAGGGCTTATGGGTTGGTCAGAGGGGTTATACAGAGTATCCAGAGATCCTACATGTGGATCGCTAGCACAGCTATATGTACATGGTAACAGCAGCTCATGGAGTTGACCAGCCTGCTATAAAACTGAACCAACTGGTCCTATTAGGTTCCACCTCGAGATACAAGAAGTCATGAAAACATAGTCCCTGTTCTCCAGGAGTTGACTGCTGAATACATTAAAGGTTTCATTTAAATCCAGATAACTTATGATGGAAGATCATGGGAACATACTTCCCAAGGCAAGATTCACAAATGCTACCAACACACCTGTCTGTCTGTAACCAGACCACATCTGTAGCATCATGGTAGAAAAGAGATATATTAATAAAAGAGGATCCTCCCATTAAAGAAATGTCTCCTACTTTCAATTCTGTAATAAAATAGATATTCTTAGTGGCACCAAGAATAAAGAATAAAAAGTGTCATTTTTCATTATCTTCCTATCTCTCTCAATTACATATTAAAAATCTATACCTAGTTCTACCCATACTCTGATCATGACCTTTTATCATTGCTACCACATTCTTCATACTGGCTGAGAACAAAATGACAACAGCGTAGGGGGACCTGTTTGTCAATGTACTGACCACTAACTGATTCCCTGTTATTTCCTAGAAGTCAGACAACAGAATTTCCCCTGCCATGGTTTACCACATGACTTCCCTAGGCAGGTGTTATAATTGACAGGGACCTTTGTTTTTTTTATTTATTTTTTTATTTTCAAAGAGAGAAACATATACTGTACTAGTTCTTTTCTAGCTCCAAGGCCTCTCACCTGTCACCATTTGGGGACATGCGGAAAAGACAGCCAGTGTGGCAGAGTGACCTCGAACATTCTATAAGCAATGCAGAAAGAAAGTCACATTCCCAAACTCAGCAGGCATTCTCTGACCAGCACCTTCCCAACTGTGGCATGGCTTTTGATTTTCCATCTTGGATTTGCACTTTTCTAAAATTGTGGTTACAAAAATGGAAAGCTATCATTTTATGATGTCAAATCTGTCCCACACACAAAAAGTGGTATGTGTGTTTTACCAAACTCTTAGGAAATTCTATTCCTGTTTTGAAAAACTAGTAAGAAACAGAAATAAACTTTTGTTGTTGTTGTTTTTAATACTGATATCCATTGGCCAAGAACAACTACAACAAAAAAGAAAAAGAAAACCAGTAACTTCATTCAACTTGGGTTCAAATTTCAGCTCCAAAAGTTAAGGCCTATATGTGACTGGGTAAATCTCTTAAAATTTCAGACCCTCAATTTACCTACCTCATGAAATCACTGAACGAAATAAATGGAACAAAGCATGCAAATCACTTACTTCTAGTGCCTGAATCGTAATAAAAGGTTGAAATGGAATTTTTATTAACCTCCCTACTATAATAGAAAAAAATAAAAGGCCCCCAACTTGTATGAAGTGAATAAATGTAGCCATCCGTACCAGAAAGTATTTGTAAAAGAGAAATTTAACCTTTTATCTACCGAAGCCTGCCTTTTCTCATTCATGAATATGAAACTCTTTAAACATGGACAAACGTACTAATTTATGACCAGCTCTTACTAAGTGTTATAAGGATAAGGAGTTTATAGGCATCACACTCAGGAAACTCTCTAGTAAGATATTATCCAACTCATTTTTATGGGAAGTTGTCAGAATTGTTGTTCAGGATGATGACAATGTGAACGAGAAAGGAGCTACATGGGCAGGCCTGACAAACTGTAACCAAAAGCAACCTCACAGGAAGATCTGATGATAAATTCCCAACTGGGTGGGTCATGGTGGGAAGTCACACCCTAGGACTATCACTTCCTGAGTAAAAGGTTAATCTTTACCTTCACGGAGCCCTGCCCATTGTTCTTGTGCATCTAGGACAACACACGTTTGAACCTCCAGAGTAAGCTTTTCCAGACTCTCCCAGGAGCACACACACCAAACTCATTGTCCCCCTTTGTCCTACTGCCTCTATTTGCTGCTAATGTTAATGTTGACTCTCCTACACCCAATTTTATCCAGTCCCGGGGATTTGTCTGTTTTGCTTTCTCCCACCTCCTTAATCAATCATCAGTGGATTTCATGTAACCTTCCTTATATTTTCTCCTTTGAGTTTAAATGTATAAAAAGAACTGCCAAAGTGCTTTTCTCCAGAACATTTTCTCAGTCCGTTGAAGATTTTACTTCAGGGCATGTCCTTTGGCTCACAAAAACTCTAATAAACTCTTAAAATTTTTTTTCTTAAGGTTTGGATGTTCTGTTGTTGACAATAGTAATAGGCCTGAGTGAAATCACGCATGTCTGGGTGTTTTTAATGCCACCCTGGAAATGGGGATTACAGTGGCTTAGAAGGGGGAAGACTTAGGATGTAAAAGGGGTGCTATTGTAGCTTTGTGGCAATAATCTGTGTCTCCCAAACCTCATTTCACATCTGAATGCATCATGGAGAGGTTTTAAAAAATGCAGACTCCTGGAACACCCCTTCATACCCACCAAATCGGAATCTTGGGATCTGTTGTTTAAATGATTCCCTGACTGGTTCTTGGGCAGCCATCCTTACACCCAATTCAAAAGCCTGTAGCCTGAAGAGGAACAGCAGAATGGAAAGGAATGTATTCTCAGGAGCGATCTAGGAAGAAACTGTACGGGACTTTTTCTCTACATTCAACTAAGCAGCTTTATCATGTCTTCCATCTTACTGTTGGTAAATCAATGTCCAGCCCAAGACTGGGAGCCCACTGTAAGGAGACAAGATGAATACAACAGCAATGGTGAACCAAGGACCATAGTTACTCCAACCTACATCACCCTAAAGGGTGGCAGGACATGTCGTTCCAAAACATGCCACTGTAGTTTATGGATGACGTTGAGCTGAAGGCATCTGAAAGACAGCAGATGCAGGGGGATGCCTTTTCTGAACTCTCTTTATCTGCCTAAAGACAGATCCTCCAAAAGGAACTCTGCTGTCATATCCCCTCCAAGAGAGTTTCATCAACCATAGAAGAGTGACTTTTGTCACAGGAGAGAAGACTAGAGGTAAACAGCAAACCCCGACAAATGTTGTCACAAATTATCCTCCCTCCCATCTATTCTTCTATAGGCTTATTCATCTTTTCTATAAATTATTTGCTTTCTGCTAAGAGGTCTATATCCTTTGCCCAGCCAGTGTGGCTCAGTGGTTGAGCTTCAACCCATGCACCAAGAGGTCGCTGGTTCGCTTCCCAGTCAGGCATATGCCTAGGTTGTAGGCCTGATCCCCAGTGGGGGTCATGCAGGAGGTGGCCAATTGATGTTCTCTCTCACTGATGTTTCTCTCTCTCCCTCTCCCTTCCTCTCTCTCTAAAACCAATAAAGAAAAATATTTTTAAAGAGTTCTATACCCCTTCCCTTTCCTATTTAATCCTGAAATCTAAGCCACCTCATGGATTATTCATTTTATCCGGGGTTATATCCCATGTATAATGAGGTATACCTATTAATAAACTTCTGTTTGGTTTTTTTTTTCTTGTTAATTTGGTTTTTACTACAGGAGTCTCAGCTAAGAACTCAGAAGGGTGGAGGGAAGATTATTTTTCTCTCTTACAACCCCAGGGAAGTTTTTTTCTTCATGGTCCACAGCTTCTGTAGGCTATAATTACAAAGCGTTCCCATCCAAGAAACCAACCTACAATATGATTTGCAAGTCAAAGCAGCTTTAAAGGGTTAGTTGCTGAAACTAACTGCGGTTCCTTTCAATCTTCCTCAAGCTTTTTCATCTATTTTCTTTTCCCTTTGAGCCATCATTTCCATGTTCACTTTTGTTAGTACACGGCTACTGTAGTGAGATGGCCCTCTACTCCCGAGTTACCAGGAAATGAAATTATCCTTCAGAGCAGGAGCTGTGAACTCCTCCGATCTCAAGGCTTTGGCAGAT